GGTTGAGTCCTATATTATTAATACAGGAGGTCGGTACTTATTCCTAAACCAGTTTGCCTGGCCCTAGTTCAAGAATACAACATACTGGAGTTGGATTTCTGGATTTTTTGGATGGACAGGCTAAGGGAGTAATTCAATAGTTTTAAAGCATTTATTATTTGCCATTTATTGACAGATAAAATTCCCTACATGTTTGGCCACCCACAAAGAAACAACATGGTTACTCACATGTACGTTCCTGACATTTTGGCCACTGGTACTGTAAACAATGAATGCCTTACGATTACTGAATTTACCTCACAGCCTGATGGTATGCACACACTCTTTTACAGTCTATAAACCATTTTCCACTGGAACCAAAGCAGCACCCTAGGAAAACAACTGCAGCTTTAATGAAAAGAACACGAACTGAAGAATGCGCATGGAACTTTGAAACTACTGACTTCCTTCAAAAAACTAGTGTGTCCTTACCATTAAATTCTAGCTGCATATCGTGCCATTCTCTGGAATCCTATATAACTGTGCATGTTAGAAGGAATTTCTTCTCTCTGCTGTGACTGGGTAACTATTTATTTCAAATGTTATTTCAAATGTTTCAAAAGTGAGCAAGCAAAGGATAATTTTATTTACTTGTGGTACTAACATTGAGAATATTGGGGAAAACATGAATAAATAAGGAGTAGGAATCAGGAATGACTGTGGGTTTATATTTTTTCCCCAAGGAAGTTTAACATGCATTGTGCATGCCAGATATTGCAGAACTGACAGATGGCTCAACAGATGCTGTGGGATAGAAGAAGCTTACTAGGTGAACCATTAAAAAAAAAAAAAGTACATGAAAAGAGTAAACACCACACCATTCATAGTCAAATCCCTCCCTCAAGCCTCCCTTCTCCAGAAATCTTTCCTGATACCCTAGGGTTGTAGAATGCTGTAGAGGAACTATAATTCTGCTGATGATAATATTGCAGATTGTCTTTAATGATTCAAGTGGAATCATTTACTTTTCTATCTATAGATGCATACAAGCTGTCATTAGAGCCAAAGAAGGGGTTGTGAAAACATTCTGGTGCGCACTATGCTAGCAATCCTTCCTACGCAGTTAATCTGCTCTATGGTGTAGATGTATCCATCTAGAGAATGAACTTGTAGGTTCAGGAAGGAATTCCCTCCACTCCATGCAAGGCACTGCACAATTGGCCTACTGCATTCCATGAAATAACTTTGGATCCACTGAGGGCAGCAGCTTAATGGTATTTTGGCTTCAGACAGACAGGTCTTGGAGGATATAACACAGACTGGTCAGGAACTTCTTCTCTGGACCTGTCCTCGTTAGATAAGTCTGTTTACTTAGGTCTGTACTGTAAGAGGTCATTGGTCACACTGCAGAGTAATGGAAAGGCCTCTCTTAACTGGTTTATTGGGACAATGACTCATGCTCTTTAAAGAGACATTGTCCCATGGAACAGTAGAGTAAGAATGCAGAGTAGCCTTGTCTGACAGGGATGAAGTGGCATTAACAATGGGTCTCTTTCTTTTAAGAGTATGTGTTTTCTTAGATATGGCAGGAGGAAGGATAACTTTCCAGCTTCATTCTGACCACCATGAGGCCCTTGGTTTTCAGTGAAGGTTAAGTCCAGCAGGAAGGAGAGAGAATGAGTTAAATCCCAAAGGAAAATCTTGTTTTGAAGTCCCTGTGCCTATGCTGAATGAACATAACTCTTAGAATCAGGTTTCTGGCTTGTCATGTTTACAACTTCAGAATTCACTTCCCAAGAATATTCTCCAACATCACTTAAAATTTGTTATTTGCATGAACATCATGACACAGTAAACCCATTTCTTAGAATATTCCCAGAAAGTGAACACACACAAAAAAGCACAAACACAGTCAAAGAGAATTTATTTAGAAGAGTGAACCAAATATTCATAGCAAAGTTTTGCAATATTTGCCCATGTCTGCTGTGCTCTAATGTAGGCCACATCGGTTGGTGAATTGTTCTTAGAAGAACAGGTTCTTTTCTGAGCTAGGCCCAGATACTTTCTAAATACAGCTGACAACCATAACAGTGACTCAGAAAATCACTTGTAGTTTCTTCTTCTGCTCAATAAAAAACATGAAGGCCATAAGTGAGAGCAGCCATAACATGCTTACACATAAAATACTCTCTACTCTGTTTTATATTATAATTGACTGAGCAAAAAGGTTATTTCTCCCTCCAAGATACAACATGTCATGTTTTTTGACCTTATCACCTATCAGTAAATCTCCCCTGGTCTTAAAATCTCAGGCCAATCTCCTAATCCTCTAGCTGCAGGGAGTTGTCAGTCAGTGTAACGCTAATGTAATCTACCCAGAGTTTGAACTGGAGTCTATTTTAGTTAACAAATGGGCTTCAAAACCTCTGAATTTCAAGCTAACAATTTAAAACAGGGTTATCAAATTCCTGGGCTGTTTAATGTAGTTATTCTACCACCCATGACAGAATCAGATTCTGCAGACGGCAAGGTTTGTTTGTTTTTTTTAATTAAGTTTTTAGTTCTAATGGTTGAGAAGATAATATTCTGAATTGGAACCTGTGTAGGGTTTCAACATTAGGTTGAAAAACACCTGACATCTAAGATAAGTGTTTAACGGTTCCCATTCAATAGGGTGCTAACTCTGAAGTTTAATTATAATTCAAAGGCCAGATTTTCAGATGACTGTGTTCCTGATATACATATCTAATTACCATAATTGTGCATACAAATCAGGCAACTGACTATGCAAATGGACAACTGAACAAAGGGCTGGAATAGCAGTCATTTTCCCCCACTTGAATGTAACTGTGACTTTGTCAACTATGGACTTGTTGAGACTAGGATTTAAAAGTGTGATGTTAGCATGTGTCAGCTAACACATGCTAACAAACATCTTTTAAAAGTCTAGCACAGACAAGGCACACTGCCTTTAATGTATGCTAAACTGGTCAAGACAAAGCTGACCAGTTTAGCATACTAAACTGGTCACACTACACTTTAAAGGGTGCCTTGTACACACTACACTTTAAAAACATGTTTGTTAGAAGATGTTATCTAACATCACACCTTTAAATTCTAGTCTAGACAAGGCCTAGAAGGGCCACACTCTACCCTTAGGGTGACCAGATGTCCCGATTTTATCGGGACTGTCCCGATATTTGCTTGTTTGTCCCGCATCCCAACCGATGTTCGGTCGGGACATGGGACAAACAAGCAATTTTGCCCTCCGCTCCGGCGCACAGGCGGAGCCCGGAGAGGCTCTTGCCCCCCCTGCCCTGACTCCGCCCCCTCCACCCCCCATTGGATCCCTCCCCAAATCCCCACCCTAGCCCTGCCCCCAGCCCCGCCCCCTCACTGGCCCATTGGATCCCTCCCCAAATCCCCGCCCTGGCCCCGCCTCTTCCCCAAGCGTGCGGCATTCCTCCTCCCTCCCAGGTTTGCACACGGGCCATGGCCGGGGCTGGGAGCTCAGCGCAGAGGCTGCTTCAGCCCTGCAGCCCCCGGGGCAGCGTGGTGGGTCTGGGGGCAGCGCTGAGCGGGCAGGGCCCGGGTGGGCAGAGACACGCGTGGGGCAGACACGCTCCTGCCAGGAGGGGCCGGGGCCGGCTGCCTGGTTCGCCCCCTGCCCGGGTAGGTCCCCGAGCTCCCCGCGGCTGGAGAGGGGCTGCCCGGGGCTGCGGGGGCAAGTGTCCCAGGCGGGGCGGAGCGGAGCAGCCTCTGCTGCGGGGCCGGGGCAATGGAGCCCGGGAGCGGCTGGGCCAGGAGCTGCAGGAGGGGCCCGGAGCGCGGCTCGGCTGCACAGCTCGGAGCCCGGGCTGGGCCCGGGAGCGAGGGGATGGGGGAGCTGGGGGTGTATCGGGGGTTGGAGCCGAGAGTTGGGTGGAGACGGGGCTGTGCCACTGCCGCCTGGTGGCGGGGGGCTCCAGCTTTTTTTTTTTTTGCTCCGCCCCCCCCGGCGTCCCGATATTTCATCTTTGTCATCTGGTCACCCTATCTACCCTTGAGCATCTACCAACCTCCATTTATCGTCTGTGGTAGCTCCACAGTGGTAGGAGCTTGGTCAGAAACTATGTAGCTCCAGCCCATGGATCATAATTAAAAATATAATTTATCCTAGTTTTACCCATGATGCCTCCCCTATATTAAGTGCTGCATTCCGGATCATATTATCTAGTAATTCACCACTGATCAATATTGAGAAATATTTTTTTTAATCAGTCCTCATGCTGCACGATAGAAGTCAATAAGAGTTTTGCCACCGATTTCAATGGGAGCAGAATCACATCCTTTATGAGCAGAAGACAAGAGAAGAATTTCAGCTATCTACCACCCAGAAAAAATGCAATCTATTTGATCTTGTTTTAAAATAAGACTAAAGTTATGGCATTGAGCTATACAGCATTCCCTCACTGAGGGCCAATTTTTGAACCCCTTATTTCCATTGGCAAGCAGGTACTTGCTTGAGTACTGCCACTGAAGTCAATGGGAATTACTGCTCATCAATGGCAGTGAGGCATTCACAAACTGGCCCCTAAGATGGGCACCTCAGAAACCATTTTAAACTTAATATCACAGGCACATCCTGAAAACATAAACAGGGCAGAAGATTTATTACATTATAGGAAGGGACAGGCAGATTTCATTAGGCATGAAGTTCGGCACAAGATTCAAACACAAATTCATTTCAGGTGTGTTTGATGAAATCAGAAAAAGGACATAAACTTGGGGAAATGAACAGCATTAAAGCCACCCCAGTGATATAAACAAATCCTCAATACCTTCCTTTTTAAGGAGAAATGAATGCATTTAGAATAAGTGTAAATATTAAGGACTCCAAGGTCTCAAGAGTGAGGTGTTTTATACTGAATCTGCTTCACCTGAATACTTAGTAAATAGATTTTCATTTTCCACCATGATTGGTACAAGCCTTTTATCCAGAATCAATCACATTAAAATCTTTTCTTAAAGCGCTCACTAACCTTCCATGGGGGTATTATTGTCTGGTCGATTTGCAAAGACAACATCCACATACTCGAGCTGCAGTCTCTGGAGAGAAGCCTTTAATCCTAGAAGCAGCAAAGAAAAAAAAAAGAATATATACCATTAGAAATAGCCAGAATGAAGTTTGGAACACATCACAGAAAAGGTGACAGTTCCGACATATCACTGGACTATTCTAAAATGTACACTGGAGATGGACGATGATGTCTCATGTCTGCTCAGCCACATTAAAAAAATATCAAAGTTTGGCTTCATGCTGAATTCATAGCCCTCCACAAGAATTTTTTTTAATTACACTCAAATTTGGATTGGAAAAGACACCATCTTGGTGAGCCTGTCAATTGGCAGCCTCCAGGGACAGCGTTCACTGATGTTGTTTCAGAGTTAATCTAATCAAAATCCTGTCAGAGAGTATTTTTGCATCACCCTATGGCACATTACATTGGTATGGTTCCACATAATTAAGCCCTGCCACTCCAGGGGCTTTCCAGAAATGAAAACCCAGGGGAAAGGAATCATGACATTGTTACATATTTATGATTACCAAGACTATTACAACCCTGAAAAAATGCGATACCGAACAGGCTCCTTCTACCAAGTTAAACAAAATTTACCCTCTATTTGCAAAAGTTATCCAGCAAATTGCAACAAGCTTAGCTCATAACGTTGCACAAATAGCCAGGCTACGGGCTTGTGGCCACTTAGTCCTGGAAGCCAGAAGAGTTGGGTTCTGGTTCCTGACTCCTACAGATTTATTATGTGTCAGGACAAAGTCACTTTCTGTATCTCAATTTCCTCATCTATAAAATGGGAATAACATTAATGCTTACTGACTTCACACGAGTGCTGGGAGGCTTAATTCATTATATAAGGGCTTGGCTACACTTGCGAGTTACAGCGCAATAAAGGAGCCCCGGGCACACTAGCTCACTATCCGTCCACACTGGCAAGGCACGTAGAGCGCTCTGACTCCGTGGCTACAGCGCTGCTGGTACTCCACCTCAACGAGTGGAATAACGTTTGCTGTGCCCCCACTGGAGCACCGCAGTGCTAGTGTGAATGAGGTGTTGCATTACTGCACTCTGACTGACCTCCGGAAACGTCCCATAATCCCCTTAAGTCAAGTGGCCACTCTTGTCATTGTTTTGAACTCGCTGTAGGAAGGCGGATATGCCCTTTCAAAGCTCCATTTCTGACAGCTGGCTGCTTATCTGCTCCGGGGAAAAAGGAATGCTGCTTGCTTTGAGTGAGTGAGAGAGAGGCGGGGGGAAAGGGGGTCTGAACTTACAAGACAGCGCGCTGACACGCTCTCAGCCCCACAAAAACCCACTCTCTCTCCCTCCACATACACACAACACACTCCCTGTCACACTCCACTCCACCCCTCGCAATTGAAAAGCACGTTGCAGCCACTTGCATGCTGGGATAGCTATCACAATGCACTGCTCTTTGTGGCGTTGCAAGAGCTGCTAATGTGGCCACGCCAGTGCGCTTCTAGCTGAGGGTGTAAACACTTGGCAGCGTTTTCCCTGCTGCGGTCTCCAAAGGCTGGTTTAACTCCCAGCGCTCTACAACTGCAAGTGTAACCATGCCCTAAGTGCTTTGAGATCTATAGTTTGATCATGCTATAGGAATGCAAGACTCTATGTGGTCTTTTCATAGCAGTAAGGTGAATATGTAATATGTCTGAGTGCTCCCACATAGTGTACTGTAATGCTAAATTTATTTTAAATTGTTTAATCCCCTACCTTGCCCCCCCAAAAGAGGACTAGAACCTTGGTTGATGTAAACTGGCTTATTTCCAGAGGGCTAAATCCCCAGCTGGTGTAAATCAGAGCTACATCAGCTATAAACAAAAGTTGTGGGGTGTTTATAATGACACGATTATAACAACAATTCAGAAAACAGATAAAATATATATTTCCAGAGAACTAGTGTACTATATTTTTAAATGGAGAACCTGGCTCATTTAAATTAGTTATAAAAAGTGAATGATCATTTTTGTAAGCACCTGAGCAAACTGCATCCCTCTGCTACAAATCACAGCGCTTATCTTGTTTGAAAATGTTTTAGAAATCTTTCAGGAAGTTGTACAGTGAAGACCTCTTGTCTAGCTTCATAGATAAAACCCTCTGTTCGTGACACCTCACACAGGCACACTGTACCTCTAATTAAAGTATAACTACCACTGGCTAGTGCGGATATAGTATATCATGGAATGCACAGCTTTACAATATTCAAAGAGAACTTGAACTATCTGTCCCTGGGGGCTCTCCACTTGTTAATTTTAATTCCACATGAAGGTTAAAGGTCCTTTTCCTGTCTTTTTCTTTTGTGTCTAAAATGATCAGTATCTTAACTGTAACACGGCAAAAGGTTTGCAGTGAACAATTCATTAAATGTATTCAGCCTTTTTTTCTGCTTGTGAACTATCTGTAAACAGGTTTAGTGGAAGAATGGTTCATACAAACGTATTCCAGCTTGCGCATTGGTGGCAAATAATTTGCCACAACTACTACTTCACATTTTCTCCTCATAATTTGCTATGCATGCTGTGTATAATAAACCAAATCAAAACCCTAGATCCAGCTACAGTAACGCCTCGCTTAACATTGTAGTTATGTTCCTGAAAAATGCTAAGCGAAACGATGTTAAGCGAATCCAATTTCCCCATAAGAATTAATGTAAATAGAGGGGGTTAGGTTCCAGGGAAATGTTTTTTGCCTGACAAAAGACACACATATATATATATATATATATATATATACACACACACACACACCACACACACACACACATATACACAGTATAAGTTTTAAACAAACAATTTAATACTGTACACAGCAATGATAATTGTGAAGCTTGGTTGAGATGGTGGAGTCAGAGGGTGGGATATTTTCCCAGGGAATGCCTTACTGCTAAATAATGAACTAGCACTCGGCTGAGCCCTCAAGGGTTAACACATTGTTGTTGATATAGCTTCACAGTCTACAAGGCAGCATGAATGGAGGGAGGGGAGACAGCATGGCAGAGAGAGACAGAGACACACTGTGTGTGTGAGAGAGGGAGAGAGAGATGTGCATTGCCCCTTTAAGTACGCTGACCCCACACTAAGTACATTGCCTTTTTAAGTAGATCAGCAAGTTGAGACAGCAGCTGCTGCCAGTAAGCTCCCTCCATCCTGAGCCCTGTCGTGTCCCCCCCCCCCCCCCCCCCGTGGAGATGGGGGGCAGGACGTGGGGAAGGGGATACCCTGACATTAGCACCCCGCCCCGCACAGCAAGCAGGAAGCTCCCGGGAGCAGCTCCAAGGCAGAGGGCAGGAGCAGCACATGGCAGTGGGGGGAGGGACAGCTGAACTGCTAAGCAATTGATAGCCTGCTGGGCTGCTGCTGCGCAGGGAACTTAGGGGAGTGGGGAGTTGATGGGGGGCTGCCAGTCCATCCAAGCCCCCACTACTAGCTCCAACGGGCTGCTCTTCCTGCAAGCAGTGGACAAAGCAGGCGGCTGCCAAACAACATGATAAGGGAGCATTGCGCAACTTTAAACAAGCATGGTCTCTAATTGATCAGCAATGAGGCTTGAGCCCATCTCTATAGCATAGTATATTATTACTATGCATAATTAATAGTTATAGGTCTGAACATTTCTTTTTCTAACTTGCTTTATTTTTAACACTAGCAATGTTTTGGATCAAATGTGAATACACCTAGAAGAACGGGGCATACATTTTAACAGCTTTTGCAATAGCCACCGGACACAATTAGGTTTTATCTCATATGTCAGAGGCAAGACTAATCATCTTCAAGATTCACAACTCAATAAAAAGTATTTCATTTTTCACCATGCTTGTAAATTTCAATTACTGCAAAATAAAATCTACTCAAGTGGCATATTTTTCATATGGAATTTGATATTGAAATTTAACAGGGACAGTATCACTTAGCAAAGAGCTTGGTTGTGTAATTATGCACACCAAACATTTCTCTGTGGGAATCTGCAAGATTTTATTTTAGCACATAATGCATGGAATTCTTAGCTTTAGAATAAGCAGGCTGACATATAGCACATAATTTTGAAGCAGAACATATCATACAAATTCCTTTCAGAACAGAAGACAGAAGCAGGTCAAATAGCCACAAGAAATGGTGGCTTGAAATCCCTTTGTGTAGTGTATGAACACAGCTATAGGGGCAGATTCTTTCTTGCTGTAATGTAGAAGGAGCTTTCCTTCCCGTAAGTTCCCTCCCCTTCATGATGGCACCAAACACAATAGCAGCTCTGTGCTCTGGGAAGTACAGAATTGTGGGGCCCTGGCTGTATTGCATTCCTTGCAATAACTTGCAGAGGTGAGGGACCAGCCTCCACGGGGAGTGCCTCCACATGCAGGGGAAGTGTACACATTGCACTGTACCTCTGTGGTCAGGAACTAGCCAGAGGGATTTCAGTCTACCCATCTCTCCTAGCTATTTGACCTGCTTCTGCTTTCTCTTGTGAATGGAATTTGTATTGCATATTCTTTACACTGCTATGAAATTGTATGTTATACACCTAATCTGCTTACTCTAAAGCACAAGGACACCATGTGCTGGGTGCTAAAATATAATCAGCAGTTTTTGGCATGTACTGTTAAGCAGCCAAGCTCTTCTGTATTGTCCTTGCTTAATTTCCGTATCAAACTCTATAACAAAAATGCACCTCTTGAAGCACTATCCTCCCACACACTCTCCCCGGAGTGGCAAGAAGGCTCACGGAGCTTAACATGGGGCTGAGTTTGTCTGGCACAATCTGATCCTTAATATTTTGGTACACTATATGAAGATCTCAAGAGACAAATCTGCAGAAACTTCAACCAGCCTCAGCACCCATAATTGTGTATTGCCCAAGTATTTATCCAAACTCAATTTTCTACATACAGATATGTATTATTATTATTAAACATGTATATTGCAGGAGCACAGAGAAGCCAACTGGGTTGCCCATTGTGCAAGGCACTGTCCAGACATGTGCACGTATTCAAGGGATGAGGCATGCAAGCCAAAAACCTGGCCACATAATTTTGGGCATTAAAAGTTAGAAGCTGGTTTTAAACTTTTGGCTTCTACGGGCCTTCTCGTCTACTCTCACACTTCAGTCCCATAAACAGACCAAACCCATTTGGTCTATTTCATGTTTCAGCTCCTTTTTTGCATGCCCCTCCAACATTCTTCTTTCAGGTGACTCAGAGCAATGTTATCACCTCCTCCTCTCCATGACTTGCATCCTATTGAACTATTGGTATTAACTCAATCACTCCCTTCCTCGATTTTCTCTTTTTACTAACATATTCATTTTCCTTTTATGATCTGTACTCAGGGTTTTAAATAAAAAGGGCTTCCAATATTGCTTCAAGAATGCTTTTAAGATGTCAATTTTGGATGAAATCATAGACCTTTCCAAGAAGCTGCATTCTCCCTATAGGAAGTTTGCAGCTGAGACTGCTCACACTTAATACGATAGAACTGAGTCTGGGATTTTCTTCTGTGTTCTATAGGTACATTACATACAAAATCAATATTAAATATTTTCAGATCAGCTGTTGGCCTCACCCCCTTAGGTCACCCATCATCCAGAGAGACTCAAAAGGTGATAGGGGTGGCAACTGGCTGGACTGGGTTTGCTGGGGGTTTCCCAGGGTATACGCCAGGGACTGCTTGCCCCTCCTGATTAATCATAGCTCAGCTTGGTGCTGTGCTGCTAGTGGTATGAAACCCTCTTATACAGGCTGGAAGGGAGGAAAGAGCTGCCCCCGCATTTAGACTGAGCGGGAGAAGAGCAAAAGAGAACAGAGGCATTCAGAAGGAGGTGAAGTACCACATACAGAGGAGAAATGGGAAGAATACACAAATGAGAAATGGAACAAATGATAAGAACAATGGAGAATAAAAGAAAGATTTCAAGAGATTATGGGTCAGATCCTCAGCTGGTGTAAATCATCAAAGCTCCGGAGACTTCAATGGAGTAACATTCACCAACCGGGATCTTGCCCACAGATTTTAAACTTTTTCAAATACACAAAACCAAGAGGAGTTCTTTGTTTCGGTTTGTGCGCTCAGGTCCTGCCCTTCTCAAGTTCTCCCTCTCTCCTTTATGCTTCTCTTCTTTCAGTAAAGACGTCTGTACAACACAGATTCTTCCCAGCCATTTTTGCCATATCCAGTCATTTTTGACATTTTATTGAACAGATCAGGTGAAAGGAGATTTATCTAGCATGATCAAAATCCCCAGCCAGTAAACAGCCAACAAGAGGCGACAACAGGATCATTTAAAATTCAGTCAGACTTCACAAGTGCAAATATTGGGGCTGATCCCATTGAACTCCTATTCATTTTATAAAGAATAGGATCGGGCATATTCTCAAGAACAATGTTTTAAACCTCCAGCCATCTGCCCAAGGCAAGCAATACTGGGAGATAGGGTGTAATTAATGAGGAGTTTAGGTGAGCAATATCCCTGAAAAAACTGTATCCAATAATATGTGTCACAGATTGCTGAATGGATTTGTTTAACAAGTCAATGATTAAAAAGCAGATGATGTAGATGTAAAGTATTTGAAGTTTCTTGTATGCATTGCATTTCTTCACCCCTTGTGCAGAGATCCAGCATGAGGCCCTCTGCTCCACTTAGGCCTCCGAACTGGGACTGCACAAGAGGTTGGCTGTCTGATCAGCTGCAGTGGGGTGCCTGAGCAGCCCCAGCTTGCCACAAACTGATCTCCACATCAAGAAAATGGAACCGGCGTGGAAGATCAATTTGGGGGAGGCCAGCACAGGGGAGGGGCTGTGGATCCATTTTTATGTTCCAATGCCCAAAACTACCATGGAGGGACTATGGCTGTTTTCCAACCCACAGTTTGGAGAAGCAGCTCTGCACACTGGCCCAGGTTGTGACATGAATTTCACCTCTCTTCATCCTCACACTCCATCTGCACTGAGTCCGAATACCTGGGCTTCATGCAAGTGGAGTGAATCTCATCTTTGTTGTGATTAATATGAACAAAAGTATTGTCAAGATTAAATGAATAAAAGTATTGTCAAGATTAGGCCTCAAACTTCCGGCAGCTCCAGAAAGCAAGCCTTGCAGAATTAAACAAACTTGTGGTCAGGATGCACTGCAACCAGATAACACTTTAGGCTGACTCATTATGTATTGAGATAATCTATTCACCCGTGCATAATTTATAAAATCCACATTTACCACATTTGAGGGAATTGGCTACATGGAGATGCGCGGGCGTATAACTTATAAAATTGAAGCAACCACGCTAACCACACTAAAAATTTGGCCCACCCTGATTGGATGGTCTGTTTTAAAACACGGCTGACAGATAAGATAAAAAGTATGAAGGCACAGGACTAAAGGTGTGTGTTTCGGTCATAAGGGAAACCTGACCCACACCCTCTGAACCGAAGGGACATGTACTTTTCGACTGTCTGTACCTGGCCAGTGTGGAAAACGGCCGACTGAAGGGTAACGTATTTTCGGACGAATGCAGGGTAAGATTATGGAGTAAAGAAGTCTGGTTGCTCAAGCTGAATTGATCTCAAGTTGTATTGATACTATAGTGTTAAGACTAGTAGTAAGTAGCTAATGAATAACTTTATATGTATTTGTGCTTATCTTCAGTATAATTTGCCATTTATATTAATCCTTATTCAGGGCTGGTCTTTAATCTTTCTTTTCTTATTTTGTCTGTGTTGCCTTTACAGCCGGAGGTCATTAAAAACTTTTTTTTGAGGAATAATGAGTAGTTTTAATTTCTCTTATATGGGCACTACTCAACCTCATTACATCTGTGTTGGGAAGGAACGATCACCCAGGGCACAACTAGGGCCCTGATGCATGTCCCCTTCTTCCTTCATCTCCGCATTGTTGTTTTTTTTCCTTATTCAAGATGCTCCTTAAGCCAGATAGATTCTTGGCATTGATAAGGCACATTTACAGCACATACCTTCAATGATGTGTTTTCTTGAAAGTCCCCTTTCTGTTTCAGCTCTGCAAAGGTAAAGCTACTATTAGTGTGGGTGTTATTATTATTATAACACTCCTAAAGAACTGATGTTCTTAGATTTGCTAATTTTATATTCCAGTCAGAACAAGCTTTAAATGTTTGAGAAATGAGAAAATTAGAACTCAAATAACAGAGCTACCCTTCACTGGAGAAGAAACAACCAAATTCCAGAGACAATAGCATCCAGAAGCAACAACATTCATATTAATAATACCCAGTAACGTTCATCCTTTCTATAGTAATGTACAACCTGACATGCAAGTTGTCATTCTTTTAGAAGCGGGAGCATGCAGTGATTAAGTTTCATTGGAAGATGAAGCAAAACCCAATACAAGCTTCAATTAAATTTGATGGACTAGGATTTGATCTAATCCCCTGTCCTAACTGGTCTCCTCAGAACAACCTTATTGAAACTTTCTTGTTCACACCACCTTTTGACAACTATTCCAAAAGGATATAAAATAGAATTAATGCTTTTCCCTCAAATGTAGGGATACTGTCAGTTTTATGAACTACAACAAAGTAATTAATTTGGGCTTTCAGAGATGCTGCAGTCCTTATTCAGACAAAACTCCACTTGACGAGTCAATAGGAATTTTGCTTGAGTAAGGACTGCAGGATCAGGATCAGAATTATTAAACGATGACAGTCTCATCATGTATTGTATATTTTGTAGACATCCCACTTCTAAGGAAAAACTACAAGAAATTACATACATTTTATGTGGCCCATATTTCAAATCTAAACTAGATTTAGAGGCAATATAACATTTTATAATCTTTCTTGCAGACTGTTTAATTTTGTATGTGTTTGCAACATATTAACCATATTTTGAGTCTGAAGCAAAGCAATGACACAATAAAGTGAAACAAGACCATTACTATAAATCTACAGTACACAAATGCATAGCATTCTCTTATTTATATCCAGAGTCTGCCGGAGAACCCAAAACCTATATCCCATCTCTACGGCTTCAGAATTTATGGTAAATAACTTCAGTGAAATGACAAAATCATTTTATTCTTTTATACAACATGTCCAAAGAAAAACTCCCAGTTCAACACGTTGCAGTTTTTTTATGAATTATGATAAGGAGTAAACTTTACATTTTTTCTGAGACATTCTGGTAGCCTTTGATTTCAGTGCGTTTCAAAATACACTGTGCAGATCAAATTGGAAGAAAGGCAGACAGACAGAAAAATTGTACAGAGTTTGAAAAGCAAAACCCGTTAAATCTCTTTAAATAATTTAACCAATAGTTCAAACACTGGCAACACATCAGAAGTAAATTCAGCCAGTAAAATTTGTGCTTCAAGCCCACAACAGAGGGCAAACTCTCTTTCCTTTAGCTCAACACGAAGAGAGAAATGGCCCATTTTTATCTCAAACAAGATGGCCTTTTTTATCTGAGCTCGCTGCAGGGAGTGAGCTTAACTCAAACCCACAGGTCAGGCAGATATTTTTAACAATGTGTTAAATAAAATGCTATCATGTTGGCAGGATTGGGCGGCTTTTCTCCTGTGGAGTATCATGCTGGTTGCGCTCCTTCTGATTTCATCCATGTTTTGGAAATGGGAGTTTAAGAGACTGCACTTGAACAATCTAAATGAATTATCTTGCATCAAAAGATTGCAGCTGGGTTATTCCTTTTGGTGCCATTTGCTAGGGCCTAATGCCAGGTCAATATCTTTGTTGAGCACTGACTTCTTTAAAAGTCTTCTTCAAATGAGCACAAATTAGCCCCACGATTTCACTAACCTGTATATAACTTGGTTGCCTTAAAGGGATAAAGACATGCAGAATCAAACTATTATCTATAACCATACAATTATAAAACTTACTTTCCACCCCAGTAGAGTTTTGTTGTTATGACCAGACTGGACCTCCTATACATAAAAAAGAAAAAGCATGTTGCAATTTTGTTTTTAACAGACATATGGAGTAGAAATCAAAGCAAAAAAAACCACCCTCTTTAGATGTTGTACCACTCCCAAAGTGGCAATTTCTTTTTATTTACAGCTAAAGCAGTCATAAGGTTTGTCTTTAAAGGAGTCCCTCAATTCAAGGTTCTTAACTTTGGCCTGCAGGACAATGCATAACTATGGCTCTATGTTCTGATTGCTTCTGGTGAATAACTATACACTTTTTTATACCAGTCCAAGTGTAGATCATCCAACTTTCATTGTCTGATGAACAAAATGTGGACCCTAAAATAAATAAGGAAAGTAGCTTCTGTACTCTGAAGTATAAGCAAAGTTAGTATTTTCTTGCAGATTTAGGGGCCAGTTCTCCTCTCACAACTGTGTAAATCAGCTGCAACTCCATTGAAATCAATGGAGTTAACTAGTGTGAAAGTGATGGTAGCGAGAGGAAAATCAGAGCTGCTCAGTTCAGCATTTAACTCTTCCAGAAAAACAAAACATATTAGTCATGGTTTTAAAGGCTCAATTCTAGAGCTCACAGATAAGGGATTTATGAAATCACATGCTCTGCTGTAGCTGCTGCTAAGCACTTAGAACCCACACTGATTAATGATAAACATCAAACTATTCTGGCAATTTCAATAATGCTGCTGTGTCAAGAGAAAAGTGTAGAAAATGTCACCAAAAGCATCTGATGTAAATTACTGTTATGAAACTACTTCAATGAGAAGCAGTATGAATATTGTTATACAGTGACCTTGAGATATTAAAACCAAAAGAATGATCCATTTGCTAGGTTTGTCTATAAATTCCAATGTATTACTAAAACAAAGATCTATTGGCTGGAAAATACTTTGCTGTATACTACAGAATCTTTGTCAACCCCTCTCCAAGGGCCTGACCCGATGGCTATTAGTCAATAGAAAGGCTGCCAATGATTTAAATGAACATTGAACAGGGCCCAGTATTTTGTTGAGACTTCAATCAGCTGCAGGACCGCAGCAAGGAAGATTGAACAAAATATGTTTCAGTTTAAAATGAAGAAACTTAAGAAAATAATACAGCAAGTATTAGACACACTTGCTGACAGTGAATGCCATTAAATATGCACACACAGAATGTACAGTTGAACAAAACAGTTCCACTACATTTACAAGCCTGAACATTTTGGGGGCAAGTTTTCAAGAACAGGGGTTTGCTCCTGATAAAGTCAATGAGTTTTCTGCCACTGACTTAAAAAAGAACAGGTTCTGCCCTTATCCCTAGGGGACAGATTTGTAACTCCCTTGGGAGTTAGGCACCTAAATACCTTTAAAAATCTGTCCCGGGTGCCTACATTGAATATATTCAAAGGGGCAAAAACATGTAGCAGTGTGTGGGCTAAGGCATCCTTTTAGAAAATTTCCCCATTTTTGTTTAAGATACTCTAAAATTAAAATAATTTGTATTCACTCTTAAAATGCTGCATAGATCCTGGAGATATATTCATGATATAGAGCAGCGACAGGATTTTTTATCTGTACTTTGCACTTTGTGCTGCAGCACACTGAGTCTCTATTGAATAATCATCCCACTAAAGGATACTTATATCTGATGTGTTGAAAAATGGAATGCCATTGGGATAATTCCTTAGTGGAGAGATGAACTGGACAGATTGTGGAGATCTTTAAAGATTATGTAAATGCCACTTAAACTACACAAACATATGCTAGTGTACACACAGGAATGAATCATTTAAATTAGGTCTAATCTCATATGAGGTATCCAAAAAGAAATCCCATCATGCTTTCTAACTCTTTATATATAACATTATATGAAAAAAAAACATTGCTAAGATTGCAAAGTCAAGCAGTCTCAAGCCAGGCACCCAGAAAATGAGGAACACGCAATTAGAGACCACCTATGAAAAGTTTGGTTTAAGTGACTTGCCCAGCATCACATAGAAACTCTGTCAAAGAGGCAGGGATAAAACACAGTTTTCCAGAGCAGCATTTAACTGCCTTAACCATGAGACCATCCTTTCTCTTCCTGCAATCCCCTGCCTCATTCACTACACATTCCAGCTTCTAGAAGGGGAGGTGGGATAGCTCAGTGGTTTGGCCTGCTAAACCCAGGGTTGTGAGTTCAATCCTTGAGTGGGCCACTTAGGGATCTGAGGCAAAATCAGTACTTGGTCCTGCTAGTGAAGGCAGATGGCTGGACTCGATGACCTTTCGGGGTCCCTTCCAGTTCTAAGAGATAGGATATCTCCATATATTAATTATTATTATTATAGAACAAATGAGGCTGGGGATCTACAGACAAGAGTCTCCTTCACTGCAACCTGATTGATCCCCAGGTCCATACTGTGCACTGAAGGAGGCAGGGGTCCTATGGAAAAAAACAGTGTGATGATGATCTAATTAAAGACTGTATCATAATGTAACACCCAAGGGAACTGAACTATGGTTGCATAGAAAACCTGAATTCTGGTATTTTCTAACTTTTCCTAACAGTAAAACAACATATTTTTTCCCCAACCTCGTTCTCAAAAAATGGCTGAATCTTTCCAAAAAAATTTCAGACCAAGGCAGACACCTGGTATGGAAACGTTAAGCTCAAACAACGTTTGGCAAAATTATAAACAACAACTGAAAACAGGGGTTCATAATGGGAAGCATTGGGCAATCTTAGTAATAGGAAGTGCTACCAGCTCTGCCTATGACTTTTATGCCAACTTTTCCAACCAGCTGCCGGGTCCAGCACATGTTAAAAAAGCTACTATTTTTTAAAACAAAAGAATTCAGATATGTTCTGTGGGCCTGATCTTCTACCACTGAACCAAAAGGGAGTTTTGCCATTGACTTCAATTGCAGTAATTGTCAGGCAGGCTCTAAAAATCTATACAGTACCTCCAGCCCTTCTTTTTGATTATGCTTCCCAGAATCACCTCAGCCCTGGGGAGGAAAAAAAATGCACTTGAGTATAAAATACTTTAAAGACAAGAATGCACTGAACATAAAGTAAATCATGAAACCCATTATTCATCGGAACTCTCTGCCATACGCACTGATACGTTACATAAAAAAAATCTGCTCACATTCAACCTTTATTTTTTTCTACTTGACACATTGGCAAATGGCTTATTGCCCCATGTCCTTGCTGACCTGAATGTGCCTTTTTTGCACTGTCTTTATGAGGCAGAGAGTGTAATTTAACAATTCAGTGTCTGTGCTAAACAGAATCAATGTAAATGTCACACTTGTAAAGTCAACTGTGAGTCAACTGATTTGTTTTTAATTGTGGCATGTCTCCCCTCTCCAAATCTCAGCACAGAGTCAGACAGTGATTGGACAGAAACACACCGCAGTTTCAATTTAGCTATAGACTGTCTACCAAATACATTGCAGAAAACTATAAGCCAAATCCTTAATTGTCTTGCACGGGCCTATGTGGCCCAAATGCTGCAGAAATGACATTCTGTTGGCAGATGACCCATGCAGCAGAGAAACTGTGCATCAGCCTGAGTGAGTACTGCTCAAGTGACATCTATAGTGGGTCTACACAGGGTGATGTGGAGGAGGGAAGTTGGCCTGTTACCCATAAATGGGAGAATGGCCAGCACAGACTACATTGCCAGTATCCCTTTGAAGCATGTGTTGATGTTAGGGTTTTCTTCCTTCAGCCCCATTGTGCATCAGGGCATATTCATCCAAAACACAACCCTGCAAGTAGGGCTATGTTCTTTTTAAAGTTAGTCAGTTTTAAGGCTGAGTGGTGCAAAGCCGCCTTCATGGAGGCTAGGATCAGGCCCACGACATTTTGGGTGTGTATGCAAAGTCAGTTCAAGGTCATTTTGTCCATGCAAGAAACAGAGCTGAATGTAGAGCGAAATGAAGGGGAGCATGTACTGAGCACAAACCAGGGGGATGAAAGCACTTTTAAGTGCTGGTTTTTCTGTAAGAATCAGGGAGCCCATAAAGGAAGAGAACAGACTGAGGATTTATTTGAAGTGGAGAATGCAGGAAAATGCCCTGTCGCTAAAGTATCTGCTTCCGGTCTCTTAGCACTTGTCTGTAGAAGAAAGTCACACCGGTTTAACTGCGCTGATGCAGGGGAGTAAGGGGACATAAAACACTCACTTCCTCAGACTATGTGGGATGTCAGGGAAGAGAACAACCTCTGCAGTGAGAGGGCGGGACCTGGGCAGAGACTTGGCTCCACCTCCTCTAATGATGGCCCGGGAGCTAATCTGGCATGGAGAGGGAGGTAATCTGCAGAGCAACAGCACTTTACTTCCCCGCCTAGAGCCAGTGGGGTGACCAGGTAATGAAGTGTGACTTTCAGAGTCACAATCCATCCCCTGGTCTGCAGCTAGGGCAGCTGAACTGCACACTGCCCCTTACCCAAGGCAGGCTGTGATCTCACAGTCTAGCCCAAATGAATAAAGTGAGTGATTAATATTTGTATAGAAGCTTTTTCTTCTTTTAATTAAGCCATGGCATTAAGAGCCTTAGTCCCCCTTCCATAAAAGCCATTTCCTGACATTTTGGATAAGGATTTCAATGCTGTCAGCATCATGTGCTGTTAATCATCATTAAGAGGTGTGCTGACTTTTCATTTATTCCGGATGTTCTTATCCAGACATCAATAGTGAAATGCACAGAGTAGCTTACGTGTGAGATACAAGCAATGCATTTAGACTTGTTAGCCTAATCCAGTTCTCTCCTTCCAGAATGGGACCCCAAAAATAGGTTCTCTATTTATTTTCTCAGTGTGGATACTGAGCCGGAATCTCAGCTGGTGTAAACTGGCACAGAAATTAATGGAGTTAGGACGATTTACCCAGCTGAGGGTCTGGCCCATTATCTTCCACTAAAAAATCAGGACTTGATTTAAAAGTTCTTGGCAGGGGACCACTTTCTTCTTTGCCAACACAATGGCATTGATGTAACTACATATAACTGACACTGGACAAAAAGTCCCACCCCTCTCCCCCCAGCTTAAATATGGCCATGGCTGTAGGCCTTGCGGAAGTGATTAATGCACTCTTTAGGAGGTGGCCCTGCATATGGAGTCCTCTCTGTTCCCTGTTCAAGTTGAAACAGGGAAAAATGCAGCCAAGTACCCTACATTCCTGGCAAGAGGATAGGTGCCTGCCTGAGAGGTGGAAGAAGAACACAGATGTCCCAGTCTTTCTCATAGGAAATATGAGGTTCCACATAAGCAGCATTTGTTTTTTAGAAAAATGGTGTTTATTAAGGCGTCATTATAGGACAAGGGTAGGGTGACCAGGTGTCCCAATTTTATAGGGACAGTCCCGATTTTGGGGTCTTTTTCTTGTATAGGCTCCTATTACCCTCCACCCCGTCCCGATTTTTCACACTTGCTGTCTGGTCACCCTAGCAAGGGTAGGGTGTGGAGTAGAGCAGAAATCACCCCAGCAGCATGGTGAGTGTTTCACCTGGAGGGGAGTGCCAAATTTTCACATCCAATCGCCAAATCAGGTGCTTGGGCCAGGTTTGCTGAAAGACTTGTCAAAGTCTGCAAACCTGAGCTATGCTCATTGTATCGTACGGCATGGCTGGATCTTAAAAGGATCCAGTGAACTCTGCAAACTGGAGAGGAAAAAACATTTCACATGAAGCACTATGAAAGAAAAGCCCCGATTTTCCACAGAGTTTGTGGCACTTTGTTACCCTGGTATAGAGGAGCGGACTCACCCCTGCGGCGCCTCTTGCTGGTCATCTCGGGAATTAGCTCGTTCCAGCTCCAGAGCGCCCTCTGGAAGCCGGTGATCTGCCTGTCCTCTGGCCCCCATGTCCCACCCTGGACTCCGGTGCCCTTTTGTCTGGGGTGTTGCCCCCTGGCAGTACCCCCACAGTTCTGGGTCTCCTCCTCCCAGGGGAACCCCCACCCACTATCCCCACTTTACCTCAGTCTTGGCTACTGCCCAGTCTCCATTTAGCCCCCGTTCACTGGGGCAGAATGCAGTATCAACCACTCATCACAGGCAAAGGGGTTCAGACCTGCTGCCTCTGCCTACCTGTGGGCTGCCTCCTGCAACTCAAGTGCCCCTTTGGCCTTACCCTAGACCTGCAGCCTGGGGCTTTCCTAGGCCAGAGCTCCCCAGCTCCCTTGGCCTTTCCCCAGCCGTGCTCCACTCTAGGCACTCAGTTAAGCTCCCTGCAGCCAGGCCCTTCTCTCCCTGAACACAGAGAGAGACTTCTTCTAGGCCTCTGGCTCACAGCCTTTTATAGGGACCAGCTGGGCCTGATTGGGGCATGGCCCAGCTGTGGCTACTTCCCCAATCAGCCTAGCTTTCCCCTGCCACAGCCCTCTTCCTGGCTGTTTTAAGCCCTTCAGGGCCAGAGCGGGTAACCACCCCGCTACACCTGGGTAAAAGCTAAACCCCAATGTTACTAAGTTCTTGGGGGACACCCAAAACCTCTAGTGAGATAAAACTGGGGTGAAGTTCAATAACCTCCTAAGAGGGTGGGGGCACAAAGGCACTTGGGATCAAACTCAATTTCATAAAAAGGAAATATGTAATGTCAGGGTTTACCTGTATCTAAAGCCAATCTTTCACATTGGCAAAGTGGTAGGACATCAGACCTCTACAAGCAAGGCCCCATGTTGGGTGATTTGCTCTTGTTCGCAAGGATGTTTAATTTAGAGTTTGAATACATAACTAGACTGGGAACACCCGAAATCCAAGGCAGATCATCCTCCTATGAAGTCTTAGTGCACTACTCCAGTGCGTCCCAATATACATTTACATCTGAGTCAAAATATACCTTAAATGACACTAGTGCCGATCTGCAGTAACTCCATATAAAGTCAATAGGGTTACTCCAGATTTACACCAGAGTAACTGAAAATAGAACCTGATACACTTCTGTGGTTGCATTTGTTTAAAGGCTGAGTTAGGTTGGCAGTGAATAAATAGGGAGTTAAACAAAGTGAAACTTGGCTTCGTAAAACACTCCAACACCTTGAGCCACACATACACTTACTTTCCAGCTGCGTACACCTCCGCTGTATCAAACAGATTTACTCCACTCTCATAAGCGATTGTCATTAGCTGTTCAGCAACCTTAGGGAAGCCAGAGGCATACGATTAGTCAAGTGGCTGCAGAAACAATCCCCAGCATGCCTGACATGCTACTCACCATCTGGCCCAAGGAGCAGGGCTGTGGACCTTGGAAGCCAATCTGACACAACAGGTTCACTGTAACTCCCAACACCCAGCAATGCCAATTAGGGTAGCTGGTGTATCTTGGCCCTATGTCACATCCAGGAGTGGAGCAGTGAATGTATCTGTTCCAGGATATGCAAAGTTGTGGAAATATTTGATTACTTTATTGACAGTTTTGGAGCTTTTCCCTGTGTCATTATGGTCAAAACGTGATTATCTGAACCAGAGTTAATTAAAACCCTGTTATCCGAAGGTCAGAGACATCTCCGATTGTATTTATTTATTTTTAGCTATATAGTGCTCTAATCAGAGTCACTCAGTGCATGTACAAATGTAATAGAATTTACTGACTCATGTAGAAACCAGGATGCAACCCCAGAGTTCCCCATATTGCATTCAGCCAAAAGAAGGCCAGAAGGCAGGCTGGGACAGATAGTATGGGAAGCAAGTTCCAGAGCCAAAGGCCCACCATCTGCAGTGCCCTGACTCCATCCCGCAGATATTCAAATCTAGGGGCAGAAGGAGCATCTCAGCTGATTTCAAAAGTGACAGAAGCACATGAGTGGAGAGGCAGTCTCAGGTAGCTGGGACTTTATGGAACAGTCTTAACACCTTGACTTGCACTCAGAACTAAGTGGGACGTGTTCCTAATAGTGACTATGGTATGTGAGGGCCTCGTCTGTGTCTTGGGAGGGGGGAATGCAGTGCAGCACATAACAAAAACCAATGGAATTGAGGCTGATTTAAGGCTGTGTCCTTAAATTGTCCCATTGTGCCTGGGCACTGCTCTTAAACCAACATAAGTTGTTACAGGCAAAAAGCATAGGGCTAAATTCTGTTCTCAGTTTCACAGGTTTAAATCCAACATTATTCTACTGAAGACAGTGAAGTTTCCCTGGATTTTCAGCAGTGCTACTGAGGGAGTGGCAGTCAGCATTCACCCCCAATACTCCGCATGTGTGCTCAGATTCTCTGCAGGGAAGTGGGGGGAAAGAATCCTTCCCTACAGGCTGCTGCGCTGCTGCAGAGCTATGTTCCCTACTAAAGGGTCTCTTGCACAGCTACCCCAGAAGCACCTGGGTCGAACTCCATCTAGAACCCCAATATGTGTGGAGGAGGGGTAGGAATTACACCTGAGAGGAGAATTTCCCATGGGCATTTATAGTAGTTACCAATATATACTGAGCAGAGAATTACCCCTGGATATGCTGCAATACAGTATCTAGGGGTATGTCTACACTACAGGATTAATCCGAATTGTGATAATTCGAATTTGGGAAACAGGTTGTATAAATTCGATTGTGCGCGGCCACACTAAGCACCTTATTTCGGTTTTTAACCACATTAATTCGGTGGTGTGCGGCCACACTACCCCATTAACTTAAACACAGTAATTCGGTGGTGTGCGTCCACACTAACCCTAATTCGAATTAACAAAATCGATTTAGGCTCTACTCCGTTCGTCGAGGTGGAGTACAGAAATCGATTTAAAGGGCCCTTTAATTCGAATTAACTGGCTCTGTAGTGTGGACGGGTGAAGGGTTAATTCGGATTAACGCTGCTAAATCCGAATTAATCCCGTAGTGTAGACCAGGCCTTAGTGAGGAAGGCTTAGCACCGAATGTAACTGCCATTGTTGGTTTCTAACACAATGATGTTGCTTAAGCATGGCGATTGTGTGTGTTTTCAACAACAGCTAGACTGCAGCAAATCTATCTAATAAAAACAACAATTCTACAAGCCCTGCTTAGTTCTTTCCTTTCCCTCAGTCATTAGGGCTGGCTGACAAGCTTAGCCATTCTAAAGGCTGTTAGGAAGGTCACGTTACTCCTTGCTGATTCTAGTAAAGAGGAATCGTATAGCCCTGTTCTTCCTATTAGCGCACAAAGCAATAACAGCAGCTATGGTCCATGCTGTTTGTGTGGCGGACATGTTTGTACAACACATCTGAAGTAACAGTTTTCTCTCTGCAAAATACACTGTGCTGTTTTTGCAGCTGACGCTGGACTTTGATGTACATTTTGCAGTTCCCAAAGGAGACAGAATATGGTGGTGTGAGATGAACTATAGCTGCTTGCAACATTGCCTGGACCTACAATTGTTAAATAAGGGAGACTTAGGAGCACGTTTGACTTTTGCACATGTCTGTGCTATTCTTTTGCTCTTTGTGCAGGAGATTGGAAGACAAACTGTGGACTGATTTTAAGGTAATTGCTTGGTTTCGGCTGCTTTCCAGTTGAAGTGAATGGCAGCACTGAAGCGGTGAATTGATTGTGCACGGTTTTATTTTGATGATCATTTTAACAGGCTATTAAAATACAGCACTGCATTTCCAAATCACTGCTGCACTCCTCTGAAAGCACCAAGTGCTTCAATGGAGAGCAGCTGCAACCAAGCACAGAGCCCTCGACAACAAAAAAGAGGGATGGAGAGGAACCAGCAGTTCAGACCCTCCCAGTTTTCTAAAGGAAAACAATTGTTTTAATGCAAGTAGTTCACGCAACCACAGCCAGCCCCAGTTGGTTATATGGTCAATTAGTTTTTGATCAAAATGGATGGTGAAATGTAAAGCGGGCTGGCTCAGTGGTCCAGCTAACAGAGCTGCCCAATGTCAGGAGGAATCAAATTTCTTCAGCTCCTGGAGGCGCCCCTCTCCTAGAAACTTAATTTCATGTCACAGACGGAGTGTACTCCCCGGAAGTCAGTGTGATTATGATCGGATCCCCAAGGAACACATGGACAAGACTTTTAAAAGTGACTAGTGATTTTGGGTGCCTCGATTTTCGGTGCCCAGCTTCTGACACCTTAAAAAGGCCTGATTTTCAGAAAGTGCTGAGCTCCTCTCATACTGTATGAAGTCTCAGGTTGGGCCCCCCAAAATCACTACTCACCTTCTGGAACTATTAGCCATATATTCCTGTCCACCCGTGCATCAGAATTTGAGAGGAAGTAAGACGTATCTACCATTTCAGTGTGTCCTGAACTGAGGCTACAATATATAAAATATTTAAGTAATACATACTGTACAGAATATATACAATATAACTTGATTTGTTTTTTTAATCAAGAATCAGAAAATGTGCTCCCAGAAGAACAAACTTCAGAGACTCAGGATGAATTCCTAAGCACTGAAAAATTAGAATCACAAATGGAGCAGAGTAGAAGTCTTGGGACAGCAGGATATTTCAAGACTGGGTATTTTTTCTTAACTTATTCAAAACAGACTCAAACCTGCCACAATGTTAGTTCCAATCTGACACCAAACATACCACTAACAATGTTTTAAAAATATGGAATTTCAGATGAAAACTTGATGGATAGCGAGCTGCAATCACAGTCCCAACCCTGCACAAATAACTTCACGCACCTGAATAATCCTATTGAAATCAATGGCAACTTTTCCTGCCTGTAAAGATAAGCTCATGCACAAGTCAGCATGTTGGAGACCAGGTTTAGGAGTGCCCTTTGGACTCTGATCCCTAGATTGAGGGAAATCACGAATCACACACTTTGCAGAGAGGAAATACTGGTCCTCTTGGGGTCATTGCTATTGCTTGACGGGAAATGATGGTGGGAGTTGTATGCAGCACTGCACTGCACTCTTACACACACACCAAATAGGCCCCAAGGTCTGGCTAGGCCTGCACATAAATGCACACCTGAAACTCTGAGGACAGGTGGAGAACGGATATTGATCTCAAAGGCCTACAGAGTTAAAGGTGTTTATAAAATCTTTCACTGTAACATTTAACAGCAATAGGGTCATGGTTATTTTCTACAAAGGCCCTGGTTTTACTCGGTTACTTGGCCAACTCCCAAAAGCATTCATTCAAGATGAAAGTTTATTGATTAAAACATACAAAAAAGGAGCACGGAATTAAAACCAGCATTTATATTAAAACTGTAGTTTAGTGATTATACAAAATAAATTTAGTTAGACCCTATCAAAGTCTCTCTCCTTTTGGAGTTAAAATATCAGAGTCTCTTATTTTTATTAACAACCTTTGATGAAAAAGAAAGTTAATTTTACACAGTCCTGATGTGTGAAGGGTATTCATTTATCCTGTTTTTAACATAGACACAAAGTGGAGGAGAGACAGGATAGAAAAGATGGGGGAAATATGGCTGTTGATGTTTTTGGAATACTGGACCACTGGAGTGGATGCTTTGGCTGGCAAGTTGAGCACGACACCTGCTGCTTGGACTCTGGTTCATGTTCTGGTCAAGGACGTCATCTGTTTGGATCCTTTCTCCTTAGACAAGAGAGGCTTGGATGAATGCAGCATAGCTGATGTCGGGATTCGATGAAAAGTCAAGAGCGTGAGAGATAAAATAGGAAGAAAGGGGAGGGAAGGCAGTGGCAAAAGCAACTCAAAAAGGGAAGGGAAAACAATACAGGATCTTTTGTGCCTCTGTGGTGCAGGCAATTAGATATTCCCACTGCCGGGCTGAGTACTGGATGTCATGATAATGTGATATGCAGTGTTGTTGTCTTAGCCATGTTGGTTCCAGGATAGTGTGCTGACTTTCAGCACTCACAGTTGAAAACAAAGTTCCTTAAACAAGACCACGGCCAGCCTGCTTTCCTCTCGGGAAGAAAGTCCCTTGGCCTGGTCTGCTTCTCACGACTTGAGATTGAAGGGGCTGAGATGAGTTGCAATGCTGGCAGGTTGGGGGATGCGCTGGGGGGAAGAAGATTCTTCTTTTTTTCCCAGTGTCTCTTTTTAAGACCTCCCAAAAGGAGTAAGATTAAATTCATTTCCATAAAGCCAAACTTGGCATAAGTGACTTCATTCCCACATTTTCTTGTTTACCAGGTATGATCTCACCATAGTCCTGGACTATGGTCAACAGGCCGTTTTTCTTTGGGCTAATTCAACTTTTCTGCCTCGTTTTCTGGCACCTGTTCATAGCATTCATTTATGGAAAAAACTTCACCTATTTTGCATGGTTAATTCTCAGGCAGGCAAAAAGTCATAGGCTATTGTGACATCTTATGAACTTTCCCATACTTTTCACAGTTGAATTTAGGGTAAATCTGTTGGCTCAGTAATCACAACAGAACCCCAGTCCACTTTAGTTCTTGCTGGCCCACAAACCTTTTGAGATGATGCTTTGTAGGGAGGAACATTACAACAGCTTGCTTAGGAAATAAGGACATGGCCCATTTGTGTTAGACATAATGACCTGACCTAGTCCCATGCAGCTGCTACAAGCCAGAGTAATATGCACGTGATGTCTGTGCATTAGTGTGAGAAGAGCCAGAATATAGATTTATATCAACATCCCTTTTACCTATGTTAAGGGAAATTTCTCTCCTGAAGGAAAAGTCCTTTTACAGTTAATAGAGATGAAACCAATAGAAATGTAATAGGGCCCTATAGATATTAATCTGTAACTCTATGGAATGTAATATAGAAAGGATATAGTTCTTAAGTTTTTTAATCTTCCTATAAAATTCTATAGCAGAGATTTAATTCTCCAATAAATTTCATAGGATACTTAAAAGCCCATCGTTTTCCATTCAACTCTATATGATTCCTAACATGTATTGAAGAGAGGTTTTCCATTTATGTTGATTTTTAGTGAATTTATCACTTATGAAATATGCTGGGTTGACAGCCTTGGAGACTGAAGTCTTCTATTGATCCACCAGCCAGATCACAGCAATGTGAGCTTCCTCATATGGTCTTGCCAATATGACAACTCCCACTCAGAAGGAGTGCTTTAGGGATGACAGAGGAGTTCAGTCCATGGCTCATTCAGTCCTTGTAGAATGCAAATTAGTTTCAATTGTAGTGGTGACTGACATGGACACGTGCCATTTAAAAAAGGTACCAAGATCGCCAACACACTTCACAATGGCCACTGAGAAGCTATCAGATAACAACTTTGGGTTGTACCAACCTGGGACAGACCTGAACCAATGTTGCATCGGTATTTTGAAACAGTTTTTTTCTTTATTAAAATGTTTTAAAATGACCGTGTTTAGATAGGTGAGAGTACAAGACTTATTAGGCCAGATATATCCTGGGGTAATCCTACTGAAGTCAATGCACTTCAACGAGGGATGAGTTCAGCCCCTTGTCCCCTGACTTAATGTCGAAGATTAGACTGACTGAATCACAGAATTCCAAGGCAGGAATTCTATAAAACTGAAAGCACCAATTATTCAAATTGTTTTACTTAGATTTGCTGTTTAACTAGAGATGGACCTGAGTTGCAGAGTTCAGATCTGAACTTTCCCAAAGTTTGGGAGAGGAAGGGCAGAAGTCCAGATCTTGGATTTTGGTTTGGGCCCAACTCTAGTTTTAGCTGATGGGCTGGGTATGAAAAGAAAAACACCAGAAGTCATTAGGAGTTTTTAAATGATCAATATCAGTGATAACTAAAGGCCTGATCCTACAAATAGCTGCTCAGGTTGAAACTCTGGCCCACTGAAGTCAATGGGATTTTTGCTATTGATTTTAATGGGGCCAGGTTTTTACCCTCTGTATTTACAATGCTGCAATATAAAGAAGAATCCCCTTTGTTACGCTATTGTATATTTTCATCATTCCCTTACATACCATTTGTAAGATAAAATGGTTTGTCTCTATTTTAAAAAATCCTCTACATCTTAACACACAATACCTCTCTCCTTCCGCAAAGGTTATTTCCACTTTCTCTCTCCTGATGTTTCAAGTGAGGCTGCTGCAAGTTTTTGTTATGGGTGACTAATGTCCATGAAGTTCCCAAAGCTTAGTAAAATACATGAGTTATGCAGAACCTTCAAAGGGTTATTAAAAGAGATTAAGAACCATCCGTTACGGCCAAGAGTCAGTGTTGTCAGTGCAAAGCCCAAAGATATTTTCAGTTGTTTCATCTATACTTTTTATGTCAAAAATCATCCAGCACCTCATTATAAGCTGACACTGTGCCTATATTTATGACTGTACTGGATTACTTACGTTATGCCAAAAAAAAAAAAAAAAGTTCATACTTTTACTGTGGGAACAATCAGATTCTCATTACAACTGTCAGTGGTAAATGCTGATCCTTCTTTTCATAGCTGTTTGGAATATTTTTTTTAATGGAAAGGTGTTTTTTTTTATTAAATTTAACCTTTGGAAATGTCATAATCACTAAGACTTTGTGAAACGTAGCAGAAGTGCAAACTTTCTGTTCCCGTGTATGATAATTCTGTGTCATTTCCTGTTACAGAAATAGACTCCGCTTATTCTGCTATCTCTGACTTGACTTGTACAAAACATTTATTCCATTTTATGAGTTTTACTTTAACCAAACATTACTTACGTCATCTGAAATTTGACCTCCAAATGTGACCCATGTCCCTAGAAAGAATAAAATCATTTGTTACTGTTAAGGATTTTGTTTAAATTTACAGTACACATAATTATGATACTTTTCCTCAGGTAATCTCTTGATGATGATTTTTTTAATGGCCAATCTCTGTAATGAGATGTGCTTGTCTAAATTTAATTGTCCAGTGAATCACAGAAAGTCTGTGCTTTCATTTCTTAAAGAGGTGTGTCACAGAAGGGTAGGGTGTTCTTCCATCTGATGTGGAGGAGGATGAAATGTCTTAAGAAGAGCACACTGCTGATGGCTAAATCAGTTTGAAAATGGCCTGAAACTAAAGCAATCCCCATACTGAGCTCAGTTGAAAACTTTTGTCAAGGATGGATAGGTTTCATCTCCCTATCTCCTAGCAATCACCATACCTCCTTCTCCATAAACATCCAACAGGCCTTGCTTCTTCTTAAACCACCCCTCAAGTTCAAGTTTCTGAATCTGGCTTTCAAGACTGCACAACCGTACTCTTGCTTCCATCTCTGCTCTCCTTTCTTCCTGTTTCCACACTCACAGGGGTAGAGTCTCAGCTGGTGTCAAGTGTTACGGCTCCACTGCCTGTCAATGGAGATATGACAATTTACACCAGCTGAGGATGTGCCCCAGCACTCTGCTTGCTCCATTCAAGCTTCCTGCCTGATCAGCCACTTTGTATCGGTCTCCCAGTCTCGTTTTTGTGCTTCCATCCCTGCTGCCTCTTATGCTTGGAACAATTTTCCAGTAGGGATGTTTGCTGCTAGTTGCAGAACAGTTCAGGAATCTTACAGGATTACTACATAGATTTTTGACCAGCTAAATAAAACAACTCCCCATGCACCTCTCTGCACCCCTTTTGGCTGCTTTCTCTCTCTCTTTGCCATGTGTTTCTTTGGGGAAAATTGTAAACTCAACTGTGACTGAATTTGTAAATGATATTAAAATTTAAAGGAGTAACACACACACACAGCTAAACTTCAAAATGAGCTGAGGGGATTCGAGCAGTGGGGGCTGAAGGCAATGAAGGAAGATTCAAGACTAATAAATAGAGCTGGTCAGAGAACTTTGATGCAACCATATTTTGTGGGAATATACAGTTCCAGCAAAATTAAAATGCTTCCTGAAATCGACTCAGATTTCACCAGAATTTCATTTTGTAAAAAAAAAAGCGTTCTGGCAATGTAGAAATATCTAATTCTGACATTTTCAGAACAAAACTTTTTGGTTTTTTGTTTTGAAATGACTTTTTGTTTCAAATTTTATTTAATTTTGTATTATAATATAAACATCTATAACTGGGGTGGGCAAACTACAGCCCATGGGCCACATCCAGCCTGCCAGCTGATTTAATCCAGCCCTCGAGCTCCTGCTAGGGAGCGGGGTCTCTGGCTTGCCCCGCTCCTGCGCTCCAGCTGGGAAGCGGGGTCGGGGGCCCCTCCACGCGTGCGTGCCATGGCTCCTGGAACCAGCCAGGGGGCTCCACACATTAGGGGCAGCCAGGCGGCGCCTGCAGACGGGGCAGCACGCAGAGCTGCCTGGCCACGCCTCCATGTAGGAGCTGGAGAGGGGACATGCCGCTGCTTCCGGGAGCTGCTTGAGGTAAGCACTGCCTGGAGCCTGCATCCCTGATCCCCGCCCACACCCCAATCCTCTTCCCCAGCCCTGATCCCCCTCCAGCCCTCCGAACCCCTCAGTCCCAGCCTGGAGCACCCTCCTACACCCCCAAACCTCTTATCCCCAGCCCTACCCCAGAGCCCTCATTCCCCCGCACCCACACCCTGAACTCCTCTTTTCTGGCCCTACCCCAGAGCCCTCACCCCCTCCTGCACCCCAACCCCATGAGCAGTCATGGCCCGCCATATAATTTCCATACCCATATGTGGCCCTTGGACCAAAAAGTTTGCCCACCCTTGATCTATAAGATAATATATCATTTTGATTTTGTCAAAACAAAACATTTTGACTGAGCATCCCCCGCTGACCCCCCCCCCAAAATTTCTTTGAGTCATTTTTTCCTTAACAAGCACTGTCTCTCTAACGAGTATGTGTTTCAGTGGGAACTGTGAATGTTTAGATTTAATTGGCTATTTATTAAACCACAGAGTTTGTGGTATCATCATTTAGAAGGTTGCTTCATGAAGCAGGACTTTTTACCGTCTGTAAGTAAAATTACTGTGCCTCTAAGTTGTATCAAAGTCACACACTGCATACTACAATTAAGTAATAAGTATATGCTTTGACAGCCTTTGCTTCTGTCCTAAATATCTGAGCCTACACAACATGACATGGAAAGCAGAGTGTTGAAGTGTGAAAAAAGGGAATCATATCATACTATCTTTTGCTCTTTGTTACCTAGTTACCATGTCAGTTTGATGTACAGCACAGATACTATTTTTGCAGCTATTCAGGAAGTACATGTTTACCACAGATACAATTATTTGTTATTGTTTTAATACATGAATGAGGACCATCCAGATACAATAATCTTTTACTATGAACTTCATGGTTACACTTGTACATGTAGTGTGCATAAAATGTGATGACACACTTACTTATGATGGGCACCTATACATTTAACAAGGAATTTGCCACAGTGAAGAATTAGTTATACTATAGTTAGAAGTTAAAATGTTATAGAGAACCTACTTATACAAAGCACAGCATATATTATACATTTTCAATTTGAAACAACTATATAGAACCTGGCCATGCAAACCTTCCCATTGACGGCAATCAGATTACTCATGTGAATAAGCATTACAGGATCAGGCCTTAATGCTAGAAAATTATATAGGGTTCATTTCATTCAGATAATGTATGGAAAGCTGACCTAAATTGCTTGGGGGGGAATGCTAGCACTTCTGAAAAAGAGATTTGGTAAACATAGCCAGGGCATTTGCCTTTCTATCTTGCTATTTTACCAAGTGCAGAATCTGTGTCAGGTGCAAATATTCAACACAAAAATCACATTTGAAATGTATAGAAGTGTTTACAACTTAGTAGTGACCTGACAAACTCCGTAACAAACAATTGGGATGGGTGGAAGAACAAAAGGACAAGGGTTACACTAATAAGATCACACGTTCGATGTAGGTAATTGCATATCTTTTGGTTCACCATAAAGCTGTTTTCAAAAAAAGATTTGGCCTCTGTGGCATGAACGGTCTTTGTGCTTGATGTCTGTATAGCACCTCGTACAATGGGGCCTGTAGATATCACCACAATTTAAATACATAAATAAAAAGTATTATTTATTTTTAACTCACTTCTTGTGGGCATCGTGGAAGAAGTGATTCTTAAGTAGGGACTAGAAACATTTTAACACTCTTAAATACTTAACATTCCAACCCTTTGAGAGACTTCAAGCAGCTACTGTTTTTAAGAAAATCAGCCAGTGGGAGAAATGTTGCAATCTTTTCCTCAATAAGTTGTCCTGAATCTCTCTCTGCACTAGTTTTCTCATCTTTAAATGGGAGTAGTGCTACTTTTGAAGACCTCCTTGTCTACTTACAGATTAATATTTAATCTGAAATTATCTGTATGCTGGGATAGGTGCCTGCTTATTGTCTCTCTGTAGAATGTTAATATTTTGTATTAATAATTCTGAAAGGAACTATGCCACTTTGAGCAAGCTTGATTCCTCCTATCTGCAAAAATTTTAGCTGATTTCTGAGGACTGTTAGGGATCAACAGGGGCAGGGTACCAAACTGACATTTAACTCTTCTATCCCAGATGTTGGAAGTAAGCCATTAACAGGAATGGATCTACAATTATGATCTACCTATTTTCAGTACGAGGATAATAGTCCCTAATGAATATGCATTCATTTTATTAATGTGTGCACCCAACAACTATCAGAATAATTCTGGAACCATGCAGTGAAGCTTTTTGCTTGCACCACCCAGGCACATTTAGCAGATTGGGTGCTACCACTCCACTTCTTTGCCAGCTGCCATTCCATCTGCTCTGAACAATGGTTTTTGTTTACCTTAGCAAGCCTAAGCTATTTCCCAAGATAAAAAATTACGGTAGTGATCTCAGTTGCTGCACTGTAAACCCAGAGTAATATGATGTTGCCTTCACTGGAGAGCCTCTGGATTTATACCAGTGCAACTGAAAACAGAACATGACCTGTATGTTCAGTTGCTGATCTGTCAGTAAAGATTGTAAGAGGAAGTTTATTTTTGGTAACAGAGTCATTACCCGTCTCTTGATTACCCCTCTTCTTTAGCCCTGCGGTCCACAGTCCCTTCCCCTTTACCTTTGTTTCCCCCTCTGGTCTGTTGTCTAGCCTTCTCACCCTTCTTCACTTCCCCCACTGATCTGCTTCTCACTTTGTCATTTCTCTCTGGTTCTTCTCTTGCAGTGCTCTACCCTGTTGTGCTGCTGTGCAATCAATGAGCTTCAAAGGAAAACTCAAGCCTTTCGTAAGTTTTGATGCACATGCAGCAGAAAGGAAGTGGGTGCAGCAGCCCACCTTAGCAAGTCTTTAAGGCTGCATCTACACTGCAAAGTTTGGCCAATGTAAGTTACGTTGGCATGCAGCCACCCACTTTTGTACATCACGTGGGTGCACACACACTTGACTGCTTGCATGGGTGCTGCACGTCCTCACCAGGAGTCGTCGTGTTGATGGAAAATGCAGTACACCACGGGTAGATATTCCAGAGTGCCTTGCACTACCATCGGCACAATGCAGTGCTTTGCATTTTGCAATACTCTGTGTGAAACCAGCAATTCATCCAGGGATTTCTGAGAACTAGGGATCAAGTTTCCACAATGCCACTTTCTCCAACCCTTTAGGCTTATTCCATCCCATCATTTTTCATGCCATTTTTCTGTCTTCGCCATTTCTCTGACCAAAGTATGGACCCTTCAGAGCTCAGCGCAATTCACATGACCATTGCTAATACAGGATGCACGATTCTCCTGTATTCATGGAACTTCAATGAGTACTATGACAGCAAATGGTGTGGTGAAGAGGAGGAAGAGACATTTGACAAT